GAAACAGCGTACGGCAGATTGCTTCTCGACCATTTTACCTTAAATAACGGTCATTTTATTACTTTTCAAAGTATTTTCAAGAAACTATTCCGACGTTATCACTTTACCCCATATGCATTAATGCAATTCAAAGTCAAATCAGGAGAGTGCTTAAGTTCAGACTTAAACTTAGCCCAGTGATGAGGCTAGCGCAAAGGCTTCAAAACGTACCACGCGTAAAAAAATTATAAAGTAGTGATAAAAATTCTCAAAATAGATCAAATAATCTGATTTTTATATTAAACGCACAAAATGGTGAACGCGCGTTCGCACTGTTCAAAAAGCGAAACCAAACGAAGTTTGTGTGACGGACTACAGGTTGGCCAAATGACGTGCTGACAATTGTCGCTTGATCAATTATCGTGTTCCCAACGTATAGGCTTCCCCTTCTGTGTGAAGCGTATGTGAGCACATGAGCAAAAGTACCGATAATTCAATGGCTAAATGGAGACCCTGATGTTATTTTTGTGTGCATAGACATTTTAAAGAATTCTTATCATTATTTTGTTGGCTGCTATCTTTACCGAGCGAATGCAATTGAAGATTCAGAATTGCTACTCGAGTGGTCGATCACCAGTTTTTGATTAGTCGCGTCATAATTCGTTCGTTACAGTGTCGTCTTGAAGTGTTTATGTCGATATCGTCAGATGATAATTGAGTGCAATGTCGTCATCTCCAGTTCACTACAGCCATCGTCGTACCATCGCAACGGATCAGTATCGTCCGTCCAGTAGTGTACCAGGTGCTTGATTGCAAAATTTATTATCGTGTTCAAATGTTCAAAATGATCAAAAAATAATATTAATCATCACATATCAATAAGCATTATGAGTATTTTTACACTGAAAATGTGTTGTAGCTTTGTATAAAAATCCTCATAGTAATATATTCGTCCATGTTATTTCGATAGTTTATGTTCTTTCAGCTGTCCGATCTTACCGGTCCTCTTCAAAAGCACCAGAGACTTCGGACGGAGTGGTTCTCGAGCTGAATCCGAATACCCTAATCGGCTACTTGGGATTACCGGAAGCATCTGCAGCTCTACCACCATCACTTGGGATCGTTCATCGTTTCGAACATCTTCCATCGTTCTCACCCAACAAACGGCCACTCAAATCGTCATCTAAAAAGTTTGGAATTATTGATCTGGCAAGCACGGAGGTTTTGGGCTACTCTCCCGTATTGCCCAATGACTTCTAGGGAGAGGGAATCAGAAGGAGCCCAAAAATACATTCCGATTGATCGATTGAACACTTGTCCAACGATCGTTCATAGTTGTTTGGAAGGGAGAGGGACTAAAAAATTTGTCCTTCCTTGAATTCCAGCTGTTCGTCATAGTTATTAAACTGCACATAATTACATCTACCTCTAATGATGCAGTTCATGTCTTTGAATCATGTCTTAATCACTTATCATTAGATATCTTTATCAGCAATCTTATCATTAGTACATTTTTGAGAGTTTTATCTATGTTAATCATTGATTGCAACGTAGTACGAGCATATGCTATAAGTCTAAGCGCTTGACGTAGTGACTGAATTGCAAATAATTACGTGTATGCAGAAAGACATGATCGCACTTGAATTATTCCTTAATCATTATTTATCATTACACATCCTTATCAGCAGTCTCATCACAACATATATTTTTAAAAGCTCCTTAAGTTTTAATCATTGATCAAAGCATAGTATGAGCGTATATTGTGTTCATAAGTGTTTTCGTTATCACTATACAACTATTATCACTTTTGCAAGTATTTGGTCTCTCTCCTTTTCCCACTCAACTGCCAACAGTTTTCACGAACCGTGAAACTAGCAATCCCTTTAATAATCTGGGATGCGGCGCTTGTTTAATGACATCAACTGAAGAGCACTTACTCGAGCTGGGTTACTCGCTAATCCCACCTCAGTCCCAATGAACACAGCTACGGATGAAGCCTCAAAAATAACTTCGGAAGATGTTCATCGTTCAGCTGTCAAGTAGGATGAATTAAATTTCTGATCATTCTCGTTCGAATCATACCACAAATCAGGTCGTTTGTTGAACAACATTTCTAAATCTTCCGTTGAATTTCTCCCAAATGGTATAAAAGTTGATGCGAAAGGAGTAGTAGCCAGCGAGAAATTTTATTTCAGAAATAACGTCAAATACACTTGTGCGGTATGTCGACGAAAAGCTGCTTGCTTATGCAGTTGTTGTGCGTCAACAAGAGGTTACTTTCCGTTCCTTTTTTTTCCATTCTGTTTTTATTATTCCATTTGTATTCACAGAAATCTGCAAAGAGACAGTCCGTTGGGTTCGAAATTGTTTCATCCCTAAATCAGGCCATTTTCCAGTGGATTTTCATCGAAAAAGGTCTAAACAAAATGAGCTGTTGCGTGAACGAGATGAAATTGCGCATGATATCGAACAAATACTTCGTGATGAGGTCAGTTTTTGGCATTGTTGCATTTGAAATCGTTTGTTCCTTTTCATACTGTTCAATTACAATTTTCATTCGCTTATGTAAGAATTATGGGGGAATAACTTATAAATGTATGATATGAATAATGAGGTTTGTAGATATTTATATGCGAAATGTTTTCAGACCAGTATGGAAACTTCTTTAGTGACAATAAGAGAGTCGATATTGAATCTGAAATTTGCGATCGAGAATAAACGGAATAGTATTGCTGAGAAAAAGAAAATGTTAGAAAAAATTGACCATAAATTTATGCGTTCAAGAAAGAATACAAATCATTTGCAGGTATGAAAATGGTTGTTGTTATTTTTCCCCTTCATTTTATAATTTGTTCTATTCACAAAACATACTGTTCACCTACTCTGATTTATTTATCGTCAGTGGTGTGGTGTGGGTATGTTGTTTGATATATTAGTGATAGTAATAATAACGAATCAATCATCTCACAGAGTTTGTGTCATCATCATGAGGAAGTGCTGGTCAGAAAGTCATCTGCGAGCAGAATGGAGTTGGAACAATTCACAATAAAGGTAGTCTCTTCATTCTTCCATTTTACGCATTTTACTCAACTATTTCTTAACTATCTTTATTTCTGTACCCATTTTACATTTTACTCATTTACCCATTTTACTCAACTATTTCTTCTTTATTTTTTATTCATATGTGTATTCATTTACAATTTTTTACATCTCTGTTATCACCAATATCACATTTTCCCTTCATTGGCATCCTTTACGCGCAGCTGATGACATCCGCGTAGAGAATCATCCGTCTCCATGAAATTCTAACTTAAATTATTGATTTGGCGAGCATATAGGTGTAAAGCTACTCTATTATATTGTCCACTTCCCCATATTTATTATTCCCATTATTATTATTTTAACTATCGTTATCATTATTGTTATTATTATCACGTTCATTATTTCTACTAACTCCTCTGTTAGTAAATTCGGTAATGTAGAAGTAATGTTGGTTTTGTTTGATAGATTTATATCTAACATTGATATTCATCAATTTCTTCGTGTAAATAATTGTTTTTGTGTGGTTTATAAAATTTTCACTGGCATTTGTTTATGAATTTTTGATGCAGAATTGCACAGAAGAGTTTAGTTGAATGAATGATAGTTGAAATTATAAACGATTGGAAAGATTACAATCGTAGACTGATTTCGATCAGTGATTCAGTTGATAAAACGACAACGTGAAATGACGTTGGAGTTGATGAAAGATGTGTATCGGTTATCACAACGACTGTGCAAATGCAGCGAATGTGTTTGCAATATCAGTAACCTACAACGGCAACAACAACAGAGTGATTTGTTCAGTGATAATGATGACTATCGAAGACGACGTATTCCGGAACAGATCGTCGATGCGTCGTAAGCAGTTATCGTTCTTTGTTTNCCTACAACGGCAACAACAACAGAGTGATTTGTTCAGTGATAATGATGACTATCGAAGACGACGTATTCCGGAACAGATTGTCGATGCGTCGTAAGCAGTTATCGTTATTTGTTTAATATAACTTCATGATAATATAACTGATTATAATTTTATAACTTAATTACATAACTTCATGATTATATAATTAATTATGTATAACTTCATGATGATATGACTCGTTTTAGACGTAGTTCTAAGGATGGCAAAATTCTTGTGACACCAGCCGTCGAAGACTCCTCCAAGCCAACTATCCACTATTCAGTAGGGTTATTATCTGTTGTGTTTATCAGCTTGATTTAATTGTTGTTTACTTATCACTGATGATATACAATAATAGTTATAAAGTCATAGATACAACTCGATGGATCACATATAGTCATGTACTATAGTATAAGTACCAGTGATAATCTTCTTGTTCACTTCATTTTGGTTGCTTTTCCCATCACGTACTAATAGCCATAACAAAATTTTCTCTTCCAATAATCGTGAATAATTGCTACTTTACATCAAATTTTAGCATCTTCCCAACATTAGATTCTTCTTTTTAGTAGTTCTCTTCCCTGACGTACTTGTCACATGTCACCAATTTCTAGTTTTTCTTAGCAAATCTACTTAATGATAGATGATGTTTTCAGATAAATGACCACTGTCTGAATGATTGTTGTAAATCTGGCTTGAAACGTTTGCTGTTACGATATTTCAATACGGGCGCTTCCAAGTCCTATCTGAAGGAACCAAGCGTCAATTCGACGAATTCGATCGCATTCCATTCGGCGATGACGGCACTCACTTATACGATACAACTAATAAATGTTTTGCAATTCATTTTCGATGCGTTATTGCCAGCTCGGGTTAGTATAAGTCACTGATTGGATTTGTTAATTCGTTTAATATATCCCTTTGATTTTTATTCAGTTTGATTATTTTGATTTGTTATCTTATAGCTAGTGTCTTTGTTGTTTTTATTTAGTTATTCATGTTGTATTGTATTTTTGATTTGAAAGGGTTTTTGTTTGTTCAGCTCATCCTAATTGGACATATTGTTTTACAATTTAACGGTAAGGATATTGCATAGTTTTGCAAGCCGTCGGTCCTTTCTGAATTTCATCTGCATTCGCTTTCATTTAGTGAAAGGCGCAGAGACGTCGACATTAGATATTCATTGTATTGAATTAACAAGAGGAGGGAATTATCATTTTGCAATCTTATATGAAATATTATTAATCAAAATGAGCTGTCATAATGATTTCGATGTGAAATATATTCAATGAGGGTTTAAGGTATCGATAAATGAGCTGTTATTAATGGATAAAATGACACAACATGATTCTTTCAATGTTGTCATCGCAAAATTGAGGCTATCGGTCGTTTGGTTGTGTCTCATTCAAGGAATTCACCCGTCTAAAATTGATCCGAAACGTCCATTTGTGAATTTAATGGCTCTTTATCAGCATATTGATTCATCGAATGATTACAAAATGG